GGGGGCGCGCACTGCGCGGCGGGGCGCAGGCCGGGAACCAGGCTCCTCCCGGCCCGGGCCCCTGGGAGGATACGGCTGATCCATCCCGCCCGGCCGCAGCCTGCATCCGCCCTCGGAGTTGCGAAACCTGCCCGACACTCCGGCCTCCCTCCTTTCGGGGATAGAGGAGCGGTGCGCAGAAAGGCAGACCCTGGGAGCGGTCTCCGGGAGCAATCCCCCTACCCCGTTTTGGCAACCCCGAGCCCCTCTCTGTCGCCAGCCCTTTCCTTCCGCTCGCCGCTGCGCCCCGCGGCGACGAGGCCGCGTCTGGGTCAGTCCCCTGGCGCAGCGCACGGGGTCGGAGCTGGCACGTGGCAGCCGTGGCCGGAGCGGTCGCTCCTCCGAGAAGATGAAATCATTGCAGGGCAAGGGACAACGGTCCCGACTCGGGGTTTGAACGCGCACAGTCCGGGAAGCGGGTGACCCTTCCCTCAGCTGCCCTCGAGCGAACTTAGTCACACCGCCCCCTCCCCCTTCCTGCTTCCGAGTCCGGGTGCCGCCGCCACCACGCTGTGCAGGCGCGCCGCAAGCAGGGACTGAAATTGCTGGGTGAGACTTAACTTTCTGAATTCCTTGCAGTTGGCTGTGGGTGATATCACCGCTTTGGTGTCCTGTTTCTCCGCCCCTTCTCTTCTAGCGCCCCTCCCCCGACTTTTCTCGCCACTTTGTTTTGCTGAGTTTCTCCACCTCTTGCTAGTTCTGAAAAAACGAGGTGGGGACGTTATACAATCCCGTTGTTTGTACCCTGAGATGTTATGATTTTGTAACAGTGAATACTGGAAAATACTCTTTAGCGTATTTATTTATTTGGTTCTACTCCCAGACAGTTCGTCGTGATGTTTTGCAATGTTGTGCGGTATTATCCCAGAATATTTTAAACCAGGCATCTAAGTAAATAAATTTTTAGCCGTTGGTTGAATCTAGTTTCTGTCTAATTTGTATAAACAAGTTCTCACAAACAGTAAAAACAGCAACAACAAAGTGGTAACACTACAAATGTATTAGTGCACATCGTTGTTTCTTCATTGAGACAAGAAATCCATTTTTATATTTTTATAAAACAGAATTGACTCCTTTTGAAGTACACCAGAGGTTTTAAGATGACATTAAGTAGAATAATATTTCTGAATTCTCTAAAAGGTATCCATTCTAATATAACTTGTAAATTTACATTTCTTATTTCTTCATCCAGGTTCAAAGCCAACTTATAAAGAACTTTTTTTTTTAGAGTTTTTTATTGTGCTTTAAGTGAAAATTTACAATTCAAGTTAGTCTCGCATACAGAAATTTATACATACATTGTTATGTGACCCTACTTGTGTATTTTTTAAGTTAAGAAAAACTTGCACAGTGTTATGAACTCCAGAGCTATTTCTCTCTCTATTAAGTGAAGTTGATGTGGGGGCATATTGGGGTCCAAAGACATTCAGTTGATCCATAGGAAGCCTTCTTAGAATTTAAAAGTTACTGACTTCTTGTGCTTCCATGTTATAAAAGAAGGATGAAAATGCTGTTCTCCGATTGATGAGTTTTGCTCTCATTATTCAAAGCTTACTTTTACTTGTAAAAATTGAAAGTAAACCTTTGGTAAGGAGGAGTGCTCCCCAGATTAAAGCACCTTTCCCTTTGAAGACCGGTGTCCCATGGACCTTAGGCTCGTTCGCAGAATGTAAACAAGCAGCTTTAGAAATGTATCAGTGTTATTTTTGAGATTGTCTAGTGGATTAGAAACAGGGAAAGTTCTTATTAGTTTTCTAGGGTGACCATATGCATTATTGTCCAAATCAGAAGACTCCTGAGAAGAGGGGGAGAACCATTAATAATTTTGCTGGCACAACTGGCTTAAACTTTGAATGTCTGGGCCAATCCAGGACACATGGTGACTCAGTTGTACCTAACTGTAAACAGAGTAACTCAGAATCTTTGCAAGTCCTTAGACGAATCTCAGGCTCAAACTCAAGCAGTGCCTAGGCAAATGCAGGAAACTGCACCCACGGGCGTTTCTCCAGCCATTCTTAGCGCTGTCTGTAATGCTCTTGGCTTCTTAACGTCCAACACACGCATGAGAGAATGTGGTGAACTTTCCCAAAGAGAAGCTAGTCTGAATGTTTTGGTTTTTCAAGTTCTGTCTAACCTACCTCTCCCTCCATAAACAGAGCCTCTGTTCTCAATAGTTTCATTGTCATAGCTATTATTATTGCTATAAATGTTTTGTTTTTATTATGTGCAGGCTCTGTGCTAAGTGTTTCACACATACTTTCCATGCAGTCTTATGAGGTGGGTGCTCCCATGATCCTAATTTTACAGGGGAGGCAACTGAGGCAAGAGAAGAAGTAATCCAAGGTCACCTAGCTAGTTGGGGAGACAGATTTGGAGTCTCCAGAACCCCACTCTACCATCTCATGCTGTCTCCACACATTTTATATTTTAAATGGGCAAGTCGAGTATATAGAAGTGTTATATACAAGCTGAATTTGGAAGCAACAGTTAACTGTGATGTCAGTATCATGCTTTATCAGTATAACTCTTTAAAGGTTGGGTCTGGAAGACTTCAGGGAGAAAGGTATGTATAGACCCTAGCTTTCCTATAGAAAATTAATTTTTTCTGGTTGTTATTTACTTGCAACCTGCTAATTTATTATTTTCAACTGTTTTCTCAGCACGTTTCCTTTGGGTTATTATGAATCATTCCTTAAATTAGCTAAAATAGTTAAGATGCAGGGTAACTTCAGAAAATGTATTTAGGGAAAGAAAATTTAACGTACTAAGCCTGCAACAGACATCCTTTTTCTTCCTCATTAGAAATTTACTCTGGGGAAGAAATTGCTTTAAATGTCTTTGGTCACATCATAGACATTTTGGTTCTCTGTAAGGGTGGAATTGTAGTTCAGGTGAAGTTCTAAACTCAGAGTGGATGAATCCCCAAGGGGAGGGTGGGTCGAGGAGGGTGGGCCAGGAGGGAGCACTCTGTGTACCTGCGTCTGCTGTGCTCCTTTGGGAAGGTGGCAAGCCCTGGGCCTCAGAGGCCCTGAGAACACCTTGTGAGCTCCTGCTGTGGCTTTTTAAAAACTCCAAGGCTCATTGGTTCAGTGGAGAGTGATGTTTGGTTTTTCAATGTTATTCTTCAAAGCCCTTGGGAACAGAAATATTTATTACTGTATCTATTTCTTTGTCTACCCATAGATACAAAGATGAATACAATATGGTCCCTAATACAATTTCAAGTAAATACATCTTATCTGTACAGATGAACTGTGATGGTTGAGAGGAAACAAAAAATTACTTCCAATTTGGGGAAATAAGTGGAGAGAGATGTCTCAGAAGTGAGATAGAGTTGAAGGGAGAATCTCGTGAGTAAAGACATAGAGGTATGGAATTATGTGGGCATATTCAGAGAATAATCAGGCAGTTCTGCTGTAGTATAGGGCTTGAAGAGGAAAAGTGGAGGGTGAGATGCGGAAAGGAGGCTGGGCCCAGCTCACAGGCTAAGAGCATGGACTCTGCTGGAAGCCATGGGAAGCCATGGGGGCTCTAGAGTTGGGAATGACAGCATCAGAGCTTTGCTCTGGGAAGATTAACAGGCAGTGGTGAGCAGGGCAGTTAGAGGGCCCGAAACCACAGGTAAGGTGGGCACCTAAAAGGCACTTTGCAACAGTGGGCGGTTCAAAACCAAAAAACCAAAACCGTTGCCATCCAGTCAATTCCGAGTCATAGCGACCCTACAGGACAGAGTAGACCTGCCCCATAGGGTTTTCAAGGAACGGCTGTTGGATTCAAACTGTCAAAGTTTTGGTTAGCAGCCGAGCTCTTAACCACTGCGCCACCGAGGCTCCAAACAGAATAAGCTTGCCTTTTATTATTATTACCACTTTTATTTATTTATTTTTTTAGCAGCGTTCTATTGTACAAAACCAACAATGCATGTAACGGCCTCTTGTTTTGAGGGAGACACATACACCACTCTCAGATCTCCTGTGAGTAAGCCTGAGGCAGGGCTTCTTTCCAGAAGCAGCCGGGTGTCTGATCTGGAGGGAATTTCCTTTGCTCTGACGTACCATCACCACACAGAATACAGGGCTGACTGTTAGCAGGTTAAGGAAAAAGCTCAGCAGTAACTGGAGGGGAGAAATTTAAATTTCTGTTGGTTCAATAGATAATGATCTTTAGAACAAAGTGAAAACGTAAATTTGTAAGACTCTTGCAGTTTTTTTCCTCCAACTTCTGTAAATATTTAAAGTCATCCTGTGGCTGTCTAGATGGTACATTAACTGGGACAGCATTATAAACACAGAGTAGTCATTCGAGTTAATTTTCCCTGTTGTTTGGGCCTCATGCTCACCCTCTGTTCAGTGGGAACTGGCCGTGGGGCTGTTGGCTGACGTGGTGCATTTTACAAACTGACCTCAATCTGAGAGGGAGGACTAGTGTTTCCCTTTGAGTTAGGTAACACTTGGAAGGGGTAGGAATTTGCAGCCAGGATATGCTGTTGAAAGTCTTGTGGTTCTAGAAGAATTATCTTAACTACAAAGACTTCTTCCACTTCTCTGCTAGGGACCTTTTTAGGTCCTTTTTGGAGGTACCTTCTTCTACTTTCAGTCCCTGGGTGTTGCAGTCAGACTGTGGTCTACTAACCTAAAGGTTAGCTGCTTGAATCTACCTAGCAGCACTGCAGAGGAAAGTCCTGGCAATCTGCTACTGTAAAGATTACAGCCAAGAAAATTGTGGAGCAAGCACTTCTACACTTTAACACATGGAGTGGCCACGACTTTCAATCAAGTCAAAGGCAATGGGCTTGTTTTGTTGTTTTTCTTCCACCATCAGCAAGGGAGAAAGGGCTTTCTGCCAGTTTGCCCTTATCTGGAGAAAAAGGAACTTTAAAGATTTGGGAGAGGGGTTTTCAGCATTCATTATTATGTTCATAGTGGTTAATGTGATTCTTGTGCAGTCCATGGAGCCTCACTGCACTGGCATTCTCATCTGTGAGCTGGGAGTTTGGGGAATTGTTGTGAGGTTTAAATTAGATCGCAGGAAAGCACAAAACCCAGTGCTACCAACTAGATGGTGCCCAGCTACCACCACTCACTGCTCTGACAGGGATCACAATAGAGGATCCCGGACAGGGATGGAGAAAAATGTAGAACAAAATTCTAAACTCACAAAAAAAGACCAGACTTACTGGCCTGACAGAGACTGGAGAAACCCTGAGAGTATGGCCCTCGGACACCCTTTTAGCTCAGTAATGAAGTCACTCCTGAGGTTCACCCTTCAGCCAAGCATTAGACAGGCCCACAAAACAAAATGAGACTAATGGGGCACAACAGCCCAGGGGCAAGGATGAGAATGCAGGAGGGGACAGGAAAGCTGGTAATAGGGAACCCGAGATCGAGAAAGGAGAGTGTTGACCTCGTGGGGTTGTTAACCAAGGTCATAAAACAATATGTGTACTAACTGTTTAATGAGAAGCTAGTTTGCTCTGTAAACCTTCATCTAAAGCACAATAATAAAAAAAAGCGGGGTGGGGGGAAGAACCAGGGGGAAAAAAAAAAAAACACCCAGTGCTACATACATGGTAGGTGCACAAACTTCTCTGTATTTCAGCATCCCTCTCCATCAGATTGACTATTACAAGACGGACTGTACATGATCTTATTGTCCAAGTGGCATTTGAATAAGAGCATACTGGAAGCTCTTGTAGCACTAATGTTGAAAGGAGATGTGAGGACACAGCAACCCAGTCTTTTCTCTACAATCTTTCTTTGGAAAGTCTCTTTGTGGTTGTTTTAGATGTAAAGTTCTACTGCCAGGGAAAATACTCCAGGCTATGAAATACTCGGGGTGGAAATCTTGAGTGATCACAACTCTTCATTTCTAGCTGGTAGTAATTGATCACTTCATCCTCCTTTTCAAAGGATGGGAAGGAAACAAAACAAACAAGCCAACAAAGGGTCCTGCTGAGGTCTGATAGGAAGTCCCTGGGTAGTATAAATGGTTAACACACTCAGCTGCTAGCCTTAAGGTTAGAAGTTTGTGTTCACTCAGGTGCCTTGGAAGAAAGGCCTGGCAAGCTACTTCTGAAAAATAGGCCACTGAAAACTATGAATCACAGTTCTGTTTTGACACACATGGGGTTGCCATGAGTTGGAGTCAACTGGACGACACCTGGTCAACTGGAGGTCTGACAGAGGGGGATTCCAGAGCTCTCTCACAATAAGCAACCTAAAAACCTTTATTATGGCAGGGAAAGGCCACATATAAACAGGCATCTCCTAAACACAGTGTCACCAGAGAAACAGAAATCATTCAGTAGCCCTTCTCTGTTCCTCTCTCCCCAGAGAGTAAGAGGATGATGGGACTTCTTCATTGGCCTGTTGAAAAAGAAGTTGAGACAGTGTCCTTCATGGAGCAGGGGTGATACTTTGCTCTCATCTCATTTGGGATCAGGACTGTCCCTTAAGTACTTTTAGAGTGTTATATGACACTTGGAGTTTTTGCTAATATATCTAAACTCCATGCTGAGGGTGACACTTCAGTGTTTTATTCATAAATAGGACAGGACTGTTGTGACTGGTGCCCTGGTGGCGCAGTGGTTAAGTACTTGGCTGCTAACCGAAAGGCTGGCAGTTGGAATTCTCTAGCCGCTCCATGGGAGAAGGATGTGGCAGTCTGTTTCCCTAAAGGTTACAGCCTTGGAAACTCTATGGGGCAGTTCTGCTCTGCCCTATGGGGTCACTATGAGTCTGAACCGACTCGACAGCAATGGGTGTTGTGACTGAGGGAAGTTGGAAATAAATGTGCATTGGATTTTTTCCCCTTAATGTTCTTGTTTATTATAATATTTCTCTTGATTTAAAGTGGAATAACAGACTTTATCCAACACTATCTTTTTGCAAATCTGAAGTATGTGAACTATTTTCTATGAGGAAAAACATTTTCAACAAACTAGTAAATAATGTGAGGCTAAAGTGATTATTCTGATATTTATACCTAAATCAAAAGTAGGAGGCTAAATTTATAGCAATATTAATGGCTATGTTTAATTTGATCCCAGCATTTCATAAAAGAACATTTTTAGCTATACAGAGTGATTTTTTTATAAAAAGGAAAAAGTGTAGATTGTGTTTTATTTTAATGGGAGAAATATCATCAGTAGATATTTAGAGAATAATTGTCCAGATTATTTATGTGACTCAAGTGTCACTAAATTAGTCACGTACAGTTGGTTTTTGAGAGAGAGGAAAGCAGTTATGGCCTAGTTCACTCCAGACCATTAATTTTCTAGCCCTTGATTGAAAAAGTTTGTGTTAAGTATAAAGGAATTACATCCATTGTGATTTTATTTAAGTTGCCATGTTTTATTGTAGTATGTTCTAGTAATCTATTCTGTACAGATATAGCCATAAAACATATTGTTCATTGTTGTTTTATTTTTATATTATCAGTAATACACCTACTCCTCGCTTATTGACTATCGCGTTATCCAACAAATCGCATTTAAGACAATAGTAAAAAATCTACTATCCAACTATTTTGCACATTAATGACATACATCTGGCAGTAATGAATGCCAAGGTGTGAGGTAAGATTAATGCAGCCTGTGATGGTTAAGGTTATGTGTCAACTTGGCTGGGCCATAATTCTCAGTGGTTTGGCAGTTATGTAATGATGTAATTGGGCAGCTTTGTAATGATGTAGTCATCCTCCATTTTGTTATCTTATGGGGTCATCCTCCATTTTCGCACACTGGCGATTTTTGCATAACAACCTGGTCTTTGGAACCTAATCATGTCAGTAAGTGAGGGGTGGGTGTACTAATAAAGAGCTTTTTTTTTTTTTAATATATTATAAGAGTGCTTGCTTACTATCTTTTCCATGGGATATTCTTTTTTTCACTTTAGAAGAAAACGTTTTAGGAGATTAAAGCCTTCGTTGTGGTGGTATGGTGTGTGTTTTCTTTATCGTCTTATATCTGTGAGCCATCTGGAGGCCACATTTAAGTGTTTAATATCCCTGCATTGCACACAATGTTTAATACCTTTTTCATCCATGACTCAGGGTAGCCCAGGAAAAGGCCGGTAGATTAACTACTGCCTTCATTTTCACCTGCCATTGCAAAATCAACCCACCAGAATAATTGGGAGACACAAATAAGGCGATTCCTGTGTTTTATGAAATATGCAGATAGTAATTAAAAACCTAAACATCGACTTTAAACAAATATTAGAATAGCAGTCTGTGACCCAGGAAGAACCAACAATTTAAAGATCACAGTGTAATAACAGCTGCTATACAAAATCACTGTTTAAATGGCCATGTGGATAGTTCTAGCTACATTTAAAATACAAATCTTATGAGTAAAGTGGTAGAGGATATATAATAAGCTTATTACTAAATATTCAAAGCTAAAATATTTTTAAAGTAAAACAGTAAGTTTAAGGTTAATAAACCAAACCCAACCCAATGCCGTCAAGTTGATTCGGACTCATAGTGACCCTGTAGGACAGAGTAGAACTGCCCCATAGGATTTTCAAGGCTGTAAATCTTTACGGAAGCAGACTGCCACATCTTTCTCTCGCAGAGCGGCTAGTGGGTTCAAACCACTGACCTTTCGTTTAGCAGCCGAGCGCTTAACCACTATGCAACCAGAGTACCTTTAAAGTTAATAATTACATAATAATATGTAAAATCATATTATATACTTTATTTCTAGAATTAGATAGTTTATTGCAAAGTGTATCTGGCAGTAAATTATAAACCAGCGCTATCTCAGTTAAGCAGGAGAGTTTTAAGCATGAGTGTTTAGGAGCATCGATTCCAGATATGAGAAGTACAATGTAGGAGCATACTTTGCAAATTGTAGCATGCACTGCAGACGTTATATTGATAATAACTCTCAGTCTCCAGTAAAATGCAAACTTATTTTGGGTTTATATTCTGAAATGTGTCTAGGTCTGTCTGTTGTGGGCCTGTTGGCTCACAAAGTGTACATAACAATCCTGTTGGTCCTGCTGATGCAGGTGAGGTTAGAAACCTCTGTGCGGTCACTACCCACTCATGCCAGGGAAGGGACTCTGACAGCTCAGGGGGGTTGCCAGGCAGCGTCTGACTGCTGACGCATCGGTGGGGGAGCATTGAAGATGTTAAGGTTTCCCATGTGGTTTCCTTTCTCCCAGGGCACCTGGATGATGATGGATTACCACATGGGTTCTGCACCGTCACCTACTCCTCTACTGACAGATTTGAGGGGAACTTTGTTCATGGAGAAAAGAATGGACGGGGGAAGTTCTTCTTCTTTGATGGCAGGTAAAACCAAAATCCCATTGTCACAGAGTTGATTCCCACTCATAGCGGCCCTATAGGACAGAGCAGAGCTGCCCCATAGGGTTTCCAAGGAGTGGCTGGTGGATTCACCCTGCCAACCTTTTGGTTAGCAGCTGAGCTCTTAACCACTGCACCACCAGGGCTCCAGGTGGCAGGTTAGCGCTTGACAGTTTTTAAAATATTTGGGATAACTGGTCTTTATGTGTGATACCTTAACGCTGATGTCATAACTAGTGTCTTCCACATTCTGCTTCTAGTTAAAATATTTTTCACAGTAGGGTTCCTTTTTGTTTGTGTGTGTGTGGGCATTAGTGGTTCAGCGCTAATGGTGCTGAAACCTGGGAATTCCTTTGGGAAAGGAAATGTCTAAGCTGACAACTGAAGAGTGATTGCAGGGACTGGCGTGTGACCCAGAATCCCTTTTCTGTCAGTGGAGTGGGTTGTTTTTAAAGATGTTAGGGGTTCCTCAAGCTCCCGATTATCTGATGTAAGGGGGAGAGACAGGGATAGCAATACAAACCCATCCGTAAAACTTTTTAAATTTTTCATTTTATTTTTTTTTAAATAATGTATTTTATTTTGTTGTTGTCGAGAATATACACAGCAAAAAATATACCAGTTCAGGTTTATACATATACACAATTTAGTGACATTGATTACATTCTTCAAGTTGTACAGCCATTTTCACCCTCCTTTTCTGAGTTGTTCCTCCTCCATTAATATAAACTCACTGCCCCCTAAGGTTCCTATCTAATCTTTCAAGTTACTGTTGTCAGTTCGATCACATATAGATAGATAAAAGAGCATATTGCTTAAGGCAGATATTCTTTACTAGTTAAGCTAAACTGTTGTTTGGTTTTAAGAAGACTTCAAGGGATATTTTTGGTTTAAGGTTTAAAGATTATCTCAGGGCAATAGTTTCAGGGGTTCATCCAGCTTCCACGGCTCCAGAAAGTCTGGAATCCAAGAAAATTTGAAATTCTGTTCTGCATTTTCCCTCTTTTGACCAGGGTTCTTCTACAGAATCTTTGCTCAACATGTTCAGTAATGGCAGCCAGGCACCATCCAGTTCTGTTCTCTTGGCAAATGAGACAGTTGTTTATGGAGGCAATTAGCCACACATTCCATATTCTCCTCCTATTTCTGACTCTCCTTCTTCCTCTGTTGCTCCAGGTGAATAGAGACCAATTGCGCCTTGGATGGTCGCTTGCAAGCTAAAAATTTCATTCTAATTCCAACTTTTTTCTTTCTCATTTCCCCCAACCCCTCACCCACTTTTTTTTTTTTTAGGAGAGATTTGCTTACAAACTGTAATTTTTAAATTGTCAAGACTTTTACTTCCTTTCTTTTGTTCTCTTGTGAATATCTGATGGATACCTGAGTCCTATAGAGGCCTCTTTCAAAATTTGGTATCAGAGCTTTAGTCTCTCGTGATTTCTATAACCTGTCCAGAGGATAACTTTTCCTGCCTTATTTCCACAGCAGTTTTTTAGAGCACATTTCTGGAAAGTGTCACTTTTTACCTCATACTGTAATTATTCATTTATTCATTCAACAAATACGTATTTATGTAAATGTCTTATTTCCCCTACAGGACAGAGAGTTCCTTGAGGGCAGAATCTGTACCTAATTTATCTTCTATGCTTTGTGGCACTTTCCCTTAATTTGATACTAAAAAAAAAAAAAATTCATGCTGAATGAGTGTGAGAGGTGGAAAAGGATGTGGAATTCACCCAGAACAATCCACCTCCCGCATACACACACTCACTTTACAAATGACGAGGCAGGACTCAGATAGGGTACATGACTAGCTGTGGAGAAGTTAATTGCAGAGCAAGATCAACGGCAAGTTTTCCCAATTCCTGATTCAACACTGTGCTACACACAAACCCTATCGTGGGAGCCGACCTGGCTTTGCCTTACTGTGATTTTCCAAAATGTTGATCCTATCCTTGGGATTCAAGACAATTCTCCAAGAAAAAAAGCTAAAATTCTTTGAAGATGGTTTCATAAACTGATGGGTATTTTTTGAGAATAAGCCCAGTGTTGCTTATACAGAATATCTAGAATTTATCCAAAGGCAGGGAGCAAAGAATATTTCTGTAAGTCAATTGTGGATGCTTTCTATTTTTAGCCTACATAGTCCTTGAGGAATATTAGAGAAGTATTTCCCAACCTTTTTCATGTCACACACAGCACATGTAAAAATTGAGATTGTTTGTCCCCTGCAGAGGTGTGACTGAGGTACGGCAGGCAGGGCGCGTGCCCTGGGCACTACATGAGGACAGGTGCTAATGAACTGTTTCCATTGGCCATCGCGGTTTCCATTGCCAGCTATGAGAGATCATCCAGCAATTTAAAACTAACTGCCATATCCTGAGGTCCATAAAACAAACAAGAATACACGGAGCTCAACCATGTATGGGCACACCAGCTCAGGGGCAAGGACAAGAAGGTAGGAGGACAGGAGAGCTGGACGAATGGAAATGGGGAACCCAAGGTCGAGAAGGGGGGAGTGTTGACATGTCGTGGGGTTGGCAACGAATGTCACAAAACAATATGTGTATTGTTTAATGAGAAACCAACTTGCTCTGTAAACCTTTACCTAAAGCACACATACACAAAAAGAATACTGAAGAAAAGAACACTTTTTCAAAAAAATAATAAAACTAGTTGCCATAGATGCGATTTTCCATAAATAGGCCCCTGGTCCCCTAGGCCCAAGCAACTAGCCCCAAGGGCTCTGACAACCCCAGCCCCTATCCAGCTGTCCTGAGCGGAGTCAGCACCTTACCACACCAGTAACTTGTGCCTGGTACACCAGGGTGCTGGGCTCACCAGTTTGGAAGTTCTGAGCTGGAAAACGTGGAAAGAAAGAAGACAGCATTTTTGGTAGCAAAGGCAACAGTATTTCCAGCTGGCCACAGAGTCCTGGAGGGAGCACTCCAGTGGTAATTAGGACAGGTTGGTTCCTTTTGCCTGCTGCTTCCCAGGTATTACAGAGCACCTAAGTGAACCGAAAGACACTAATTTTTTTCTTTATGGAAGTCCAGTCTGAACTGATTCCTTTTCCTTCTCCTTCTTTACCAAGTCCATATTTTCCATTGCCCACTGGTCTGCTGATTATATTTTCCTAAACTGAGCAGGATTTTGGCAAGCGTCTAACCAGGCAGAGGTCTTAATAAACCTGACACAGTTTATTAAAACATGATAAGAGATGGGGAAGTTTAAAGGTATAGTGTCATGGATTGAATTGTGTCCCCCAAAAATATCTGTCAACTTGTCTAGGTCATGATTCCCAGTATTGTATGATTGTCTACCTTTTATCATCTGATGTGATTTCTCTATGTGTTGTAAATCCTATCACTATGATGTAATGAACTGGATTAGTAGCAGTTATATTGATGAGGTCTACAAGATTAAATAGTGTCTTAAGCCAATCTCTTTTGAGATATAAAAGAGAGAAGCGAGCAGAGAGACAGGTGGACCTCATACCACCAAGAAAGCAGTGCCAGGAACAGAGCACATTCTTTGGACGCGGGTTTCCTGCGCAGAGAAGCTCCTAGTCCAGGGGAAGATTAATGACAAAGACCTTCCTCCAGAGCTGAGAGAGAAGAGAAAGCCTTCCCCTGGAGCTGATGCCCTGAATTTGGACTTATAGCCTACTAGACTGTGAGAGAATAAATTTCTGTTTGTTAAAGGCATCTACTTGTGGTATTTCTGTTACAGCAGCACTAGATGACTAACACATATAGTCTTGCTTTAAATCTGATAGTCAACGCTGAGCCACTCTTTGGGAAGACAGTCTAGCAGGTTTGGTTTAATTTAGTGTTGTTGGTCACTAGCTTGCTTCACAGACCCAATACACAGAGTACTGAGGCGTGAGACCAAGCTCCTGAACCAGTGTGCCAAGAATGAGTTACAGCTTAGCCACGAGATGCTGATCCCCTCAGCCTGAGCAGTAGCCAGGTAAGGTCTAAGACTTCCCAAGAACTCCCCCTTCCTCTGTCAAGCTACTCACTTCTGGTTGCAAGCAGCTTCATCCACTTACCCCAGTGTGTTGTACAATTATAGTAATTGGCATGTGCATCATGACTTGAAAAAGCTGAGCATTCGGCCAGGTAGAAGCACTAGGCCAATAACTGTCTATGGGACAGAAATAAAAAAAAATTGACTTCTTTTTTTCCTTTTGAGGCACCAATTCACTAATTTTTATACCTACCATTAAAACACTTGTAGAGACACAGGTCAAACAGTAGAATCAAAGAATGATAGTATTAGCGAGGACCTCAAAAGGCTGTCTTTGTTAGTCTTCTTCTGATAGGTAGGGGCTAATACCTTGAGGGAGTCCCTGGGTGGTGCAAACGGTTAATGCACTCGCTGCTAACTGAAAGGTTGGAGGTTCCAGTCCATCCAGGGGTGCCTTGGAAGACAGGCCTGGCAATCTACTTCTAAAGTGTCAGCCATTGAGGTGTCTGGGGTCTTAAAAGCTTGCAGGCGGCCATCTAAAATGCATCAATTGGTCCCAGCCACCTGGAGTAAAGGAGAATGAAGAACACCAAAGACAACAAGGAAAGTAGTAGTCCAAGAGACAGAAAGGGCCACATAAACCAGAGACTTCATCAGCCTGAGACCAGAAGAACTAGATCGTGCCCAGCTACCACCAATGACTGCCCTGACAGGGAACACAACAGAGAGTCCCAGATGGAGCAGAATGGTGGGGTGCAGAACTCAAATTCTAGTAAGAGGACCAGACTTAATGGTCTGACTGAGACTGGAGGAACCTCGGAAAGCATGGCCCCTGGACTCTATGAGCCCAGAGCTAAAACAATTTCCAAGGCCAACTCTTCAGACAGGGATTGGACTGGACTGTGGGACATAAAGTGATACTCGTGAGGAGTGTCCCTCTTAGCTCAAGCAGATACGAGAGACTAAACGGACACCTTCTGTCCAGAGGTGAGATGGGAAGGCAGAGAGCGTCA